TTCACCTAGGAGAAAAAAAAAAATCAAGATTTCTATATCGATGTCTTTCAAGGATAAGTTGTTCATGTTGTGTGGAAGGTTCGTTCGCGATGGGAACGATAAAGCGAGTGTTGTGGCGAGCGTTGTTGCGACTTCAAACACGATCGAGGGTACTTTTCCTTTCGGCGAGAAGAAGGTCTTCCGGTGACGCCCGACACGTTTCGAATTCGAAATTCTTGTTACTTTTCGTCCCGGCTTCATTCGCGCGACTGACCGCGGAAACGATGTATATGCGCGTCACGGTTTTTCTGTTTGTTTTCTTTCTTTTTTTCCTTCGGTTCGAAGACACGACAACGAATTTTTCGTCAATCATTTCCGCGAAAAAGTATTTTAACGTTTTCGTTAACGACGGTGTACCGCGCTTCGATTGTTCACGTGTTCCGTTTCCATTCGTTTTTTCTGTTTTTCTGTTGAAGTTACCGCGAAGATCATCGGGAATCAGCGGAGACCGTCGACCGTGTGAATGAATTAACGATCTTAAGATAGATTTTTCGAGTCCAAGTCTGATGAACCGTATTCGATGGTAACAAAGACTTTCTGATTTCGTCGTGGTGCGTGTGTACAAAATGGAAAAAAAAAAGAAGATAAAGAAGACGGATATATACGTTACTGTTGCGATTCGAGACAATTCCGCGGGGTTCATTTCGGCGTTGCTTTCGAGGGTGGAGCGCGAAAATTTTTGGGAAACGGCACAGGGACGAGTTTGCCCCCTTCTCCTCCGGGAGAGGGGTGAAAATTGTACGAATGGGAAGAAGGGCTTGTACGGAAATAACGTGCCATAAAACTGCTTAGGTAGTGACTTTGAAAATCGAACGATGACGACGGTCGTTTGTATGTGCTTTTAACGAGCCCTTTATCAATTAGAAAGAGAGAGACTAAGGAAGGTAGATTGAAAGTTTATGAGAAAAAGTGCAGAGACGAGAAAAATAATTCACGGAAGTGCAAAATTCCATACCGGAATATTTTATGTAATTTCAAGTTTTTGTTTTGTTACCGTGGTTGTTTTTTATCTCGAATTTATAGTGCGCGCTCGCGCGCGCGCAGAGGAAAGAGAGGGAGGGAGAGAGAGAGAGAGCGAGAGAGAAAGAGAGAAAGAGAGATTGTGTGCGAGAGCGAAGGAGATTAAAGTTGCGTGATAAGTCGTGAATGCGTGACTGTGAATAAAAAATGCGAGTGCGAGAGTGTGCGTGTGACAAAGGGAGAGAGAGCGAGAGAGGCATAGTGAGAGAAAATTAGAGAACGATTAATATTCAATGAAAAGAAAAAGTCTATGTTCGTTTCTTTTTTTGTTTTTCTTTTGCGAGTTTTCTCTTCATTTTTGTATACTTAGCAAGTGACTTTTTAGCGTAACCCCTCGTTTCCTAATTTAATAATAATTATTATTATTATACGATACAAAATATTTTTTATTATATGGGCATTTCAGTTCCTAAATTGGAAATAAAATATCTACCACGAACGATTTCTTTATTGTTCGAGTGTACCGAGCATGCGAGCTCGACGTAATCGTCTGAAAT